TCTCTACCAAATGAGTATATCTTGATCTTTTGAAATTTCTTGCAATGCTAAATATCTTTCAACTTCGTTAATGTCATAACTACAAGAATTAAACAAACTTTTACCATATACTTTTGTTTTTAATTTTTTTTTATAAGGGTTTATTTTGTTGTCTTTCAGATATGTGATTCTTGGAAATTTCTTTATTATATAGATTATGCAATTCATTAATTGCTTCCCTTTTTTTTAATTCAGTAGTAAAGATAGATTTTTCTAATGTGGATCCAAGAGCGAAGCAACAAGACCATTAAGCTTCAAATCTTTATAATAATCATTCATTGCTTGATAAAGTTTTACCTTTAATCATATCAATTAATCCAAACATATTAATTGGCCTATTGATTTTAATCTTTTGTTTTATTTTTGGTTCATCTTTTACATTATATTTAATTTGCAGTTCATCAAATACATTCTTTAATTCATCTTGATTGTTATTATCTTCATCAATAGGATCAAAAAAAACACTTAATCTTGTTTTAATTTTTTGTATCACAGGATATACATAGCTTATAGTTGAATATTGGCTCCTCTCAAGTCTCTCAATAGTTTCAGTGAATAGTTCTAGAATTGTCATGATCTCTTCAATAAATAACTATTTCTCAGAAGTCAAATTGATTTTTTCTAACTACTTTTCATATTTTTTTGTTTTTATATCAACATTATTAACATTCATAGCTATGAAAAGAATATTGATAAATAGCTTTAAGATTAATAAATGACTCCACATATTGAAGGTGCTTGACCAATATTTTTATAGTTAGTAAGTACATGTTAAAAAACTAATTGTAATTCATTAATTGATTCATCCATATTACTTGTACTCAAAACACATTGTTTTTAAATATTAATTAGCCTTTTATTTTGTTTAGAGTAAGTAAAAAAGGTATTTAGTCTTTTTGCTTTTACAATCAGAACTTTGGCTAGCAACATTCTTTTTTTAATGGCTAACTCAATCATATGTGCTTTATGTGAGACCCTTTTAAGCCAAGAGATTTGGCTAAGTGCTTTCTTTATATTTTTTTTCATTGTTTGTAGTATAGCAAAATACTTTATCTTTTATATTCCAATCAGATATAATTATTTCTAGTGCTTCTTGAATATGGTTATCAGTGTGAGGATATAAGAGATTTTTAATTAACAAAGTGACTTCTTTAAGTTCAAAATTAGGAGTTATAAAATGCTCCATAACCCCAAAAAATCTCATTTTAGAGCGAGAGGATTATAAGTCACATGTAAGCAATATCTGATTTGCTTCAGTCTCTAATAAATCATAAATTTTTGAGCTAACATTATATTTATATTCAAAAGGTTTAATTTTAAATTTGTTGTTATTAGGAATGTCAAAGACTAGACTAAATTTATTAATAAAACGTCAGAATAAAGAGAATTCAAGCATTTGTAAAGTTTGAGACTCCAAAATAACCCATTCATAAAGAAGTAATTCAAGGTACTTTTGCTGTTCTTTAGTCATTAATATGAATGATCCATCTTGATTAGCTGATCTAATTATAGCACTAAATAAGGACATTTTTTTGAATATTTGATGCACAACTGCTAAATGAGTAATAATATTTCTAGTCGGACCCTTTGTTGTAATTTTAAAATTACAGATTAGTCTATTTAACAATTTGTTTTTGCATAAGAAAATTCTTCCACCTTTGTAGCAGTTCTTAATATTCACCTATGCCCAAATCCAACTAGTTAATTTGGGGTTCCTGTTATAGTATTTGGTTGGTTGTCATTTGATATTGTTGCATTGGTTAGTTAGTTGTCATTTGATATTGTTGCATCAGTTGGATGGACTCATTTGCTAAAAACATGAGTAAGAATACATTTGAAGAGGTAGATGAAGCTATAATGAAAATACATTAATTTACTATTAAAAAAATAAGTCTATTTATACTAATTTTTGATATTATCTGAGATTGATATAAGAAAAGTCTTATTCAATAATACAAGATAATTATGTTGGTTTAATACTGTAATAGTGATTTTATTATTTTAGATTTATATAAGAAAACTCTTATCTAATAGCAGAAGATAATTATGATAGTTTAATTCTGTAGTAGTTATAAATTTATTTATATTAACTTTTTAATAAAAAGATTTTGTTGTCAGATCAATATAAGAGAAATTGATAAATTCATATTTAATATTGCAAGGTAATAGCTAAATATATTAAAAGTGTTCTAATAATGCAAAGTAATTATTGTAGATTTAATGCTATAATGTTAAGATATAAAAAAGACTAAAAAAAAAATTGAATTGATGTCAGGAAGATT